ACAAAAGCCCTGGCATAATTATTAACCCAATTGAATTTGGAAGCCTTAAAATAAAGACCACACCTGTGGCACAATTACAAAATAATAAGTATGTAACAGGCCACAGAGAGAATCTTAAATTGAAAAAAAAAATGATGCTATCACAGACACCCATTTTCTGATTACAATGCTGTAAAAATTAGAAATTAGCAACAAGATCAAACGTCCTCACGGCCTCTTCTATATGGATAATTAAAAAATACAAACCTTCTATTAATAATTTTTGAGGGAAAGAGAAAATACAAACCAAAGGTGCAGAATATCTAGGAAAGAATGATAAAATACTAGACAGTAAAACTTACTCGTTATAGCTAAAGCAGCTTTCAGAGTACATTTACAGCCTTCAGAACTTAGGTTAATTATAAAAGAATAAAAACTAAACATCCAATTCTGAAACCAAATTATAAAAAAAAAACTGTAATTACACAATGCCAAGAAAATTAAGATGAAAATATTATCTATCAATACAAATAGGGCACTGCCAAGATAGTGGCAAGGAGAGGCAGTTTTGAGGCAGTAAATATTTTAATTATCATGAAAGAAAGAATAAAGTGGATATAATAATAATACATTATTATAATTTAATAATTATTATAAATTTATTATTTAATAATTATGATTTATTGTCTCTGACTTAAAGAAGTCAGAGATAATAATGATAATACATTAAAACACAAAGAAAATATAAAAGCAGAAATGAGAAACTAAGAAAAAATGATAGAACTGAAAAATCTGAGAACTGATCCTTAAATTGAAATGAATCAGTTACATGAACATCTCTCCAGCTGATTCAATAAGAGATGTAGAGAAAAACAAGCCAAAATCCGTAATGGAAGTAGGGACATAGTGATTATAATGGAGAATTAGAACAGTTCAGGAGAATTTTAAGTTCTATGGAGGGCCCTTCCTGTCTGTGGATTTCACATCTGCAGACTCAACCAATCTCGGATGAAAAATATTTGAGAAAAATTTGTCTTTACTGAACATGTACAGACTTTTCCTCCTGTCGTTATTCTCTAAACAATGAATAAGTAGTTGTTATAACTACTTACATAGCATTTACATTGCTGAAAGATGTGAGTAGGTTAAATGAAAATACTATGCCATTTTATTTTATTTATTTTAATTTATTTTTTGGTACCAGGGATTAAACTCAGGGGCACTCGACTACCAAGCGACATCCCCAGCCCTATTTTGTATTTTATTTAGAGACAGGGTCTCATTGAGTTGCTTAGCGCCTTGCTAAATTGCTGAGGCTGGCTTTGAACTCGCAATCCTCCTGCTTCAGCCTCCCCAGTTGCTGGGATTACAGGCATGTGCTGCTGTGCCCAGCCTATGCCATTTTATATAAGGCACTTGAGCATTTACAGGTTTGGGATATTTCCATACTAATAAGATTGAAAATCTCATTGAAATGAGTTAATTTGAAGGCAAAGAGAAATACTAGGACTGTCTCAAGAAGGAACAGAAAACTATGAAAGAAACAGGGAAATTATCAGAGAATCATCTCCCAAGAAAGAGCCACAATCAGGGGATTTAAAGAGGCAATTTCTTAAATATTAAAAAAATAAATAATTCCTATGATACATACACTATTCCACAGCAGAAAAAGAATTAAAAGTAAAAAATCTTGGTTTTTTTATAGAGCTAGAATTGCTTTACTACCAAAATCTGATAAAGCCCACTCATACATATAAATCTCATTTATGAAATGAATATATGTACAAAATCTTAAATAAGACCAAAGGGAACCAAATCACATATTAAAATAAAAAGTCATGCATGATAGTGAAATTGACTTTATGGTAAAAATAAGGAGAGGTCAATATTAGGAAATCATTAATAATATCCATCTTATTGAAAGGTAAAATTAACTGAGACTCAATAGATATAGAAAAGCATTTGGTAAGATTCAGGAGCTACTGTTGATTCTTTGGAATGAGTCACATATCGGAAATAAGAAGGAGTTTCCTCAATGTTAGAATATATCTCAAACCAACAGCCAGCATTCAGCTTCATGACTTCTGCAGGGCTCTATCCCTAGAAATTAGGCTTCTGTTTCCAAAGAATGTTCCTTAAGTGCATTTGTCTGGGGCGAGGGTTCATAGCTTATTGATTAGTGATCACTGAAGTCTTGTGTGACTCAATATAGGCCTATAGGGAAGCTCTGGGGACATCCCTTTTGACAGAGACAAGAAAAGACTCACCATGACCACATACATTGTTCTAACCATGTGTATTCTAACCATTTCCGTGTGGACAAAAAGAAATAGGTCACTCATTTTAGAAAGGAGGAGGCAATTATCATTACCATCATGTGTGAAGGATTTGCTTGACCCCCTGAAAAGAATCTGCTAAGTTAGAATCACTAGGAGAACCCAGGAAGATGGCAGCAACTGTTTAGAAAATCTAGTGAAAGAAAGGTTCACATTTGCAATACCAATGAAACATTTATCTTAGCTAGGAATAAACTTAATGAAAAGCATGTAGGCCCTATATGAGGATAACTAGAAAATAAGTTTTGAATAAATTCAGTATCAGATTATATCTCTGGATTAAAAAAACTAATACTGAAAAGATCTTGATTCCTTCCTCCAAAATTAATTTTAAGTTTAATGTGAGTCTAATAAAAATTCCAAGAAGCATTTGTTTAGAACTATACTTAATGTTCCAAAATTTCATCTGGAAGGACTTCAGAATATGGAGCCGCGGTAATTAGACATAGTGTTAGTGAGGAGTAGACAGAATGATAGAGTAGAATAGAAAGATATCACAACCCGCAGGATGTGTGATCACTTAGTGTGTGATACAAGTCACTGTGAAAAGGAGGAACAGTTTAAACAAATAAGACCTTAGACAATTGCATAACCATTTGGTGAAAAAGAATTTGAATTCTTCCCTCACACTGTGTACGAAGTTGAATTGAGTGCTTGTTCCTGCTGAAAGAAGAAGATACTCGGAGCCTAATTTGAAAGGCAGAAGCTGTAAGGAAAAAGCTGTGTAGAAATTTCTGGAATGGCTAAGAAAACAAACAAATGGAGCACACAAACACACACAAACATGACATCAACACATACAAACATAAACATACCATAAAAATATCACACACATATCATAAACACGATTGAACAGCAAGTGATCAACTGGGACGAGATATCTGTATCATGTTTGCTAGACCAGTGGTTAATATCCTCTACATACAAAGAGGCCTTTCAAATTACTACAAATCAGAAAACAGACACCAGGAGATGGAAAAAGGATAAATAACAAGGATGAGCAGTTCATAAAGAAGAAATACAAAGGGCTAATAAACCCATACAGGTTTTTCCAGTGGTCAAATAAATGTGAGTTAAAAATTTAATATAGCATCTTTCATCTATCAAATTAGCAAATTAACATCTATCAAAATTAACAAACGTTTAAGTGATAGTATAAGTCCAGAATATGATACATTTGCACCTGTAGTTGGAGGAACGAGTCTAGACAATTTTTCCAGAGGGCAACTTGACTGTGCTCATCAAAGTTCTTAAAACATTCATATGTTTTGACCAGGAATTCTTTTTCTAGAACCTTACCATAGAGACACATTTAAATGAATACACAAAGCATATGGGTAACAGTTTTCAAACTCCTGTAATTTATAAGTCATTTTTTAAAAATAAGATTGAACAATTGCAAAACTAAATGTTGGCTATAACTTATGGTACATTAATACATTTTGATGTTATATTGCCATTAATGGGGGTCATATAGAAGTATATTTTTCACCTATAAAGATATTCATGGAACATTGTTAGGATAAAAAAAAAGTTAACAACACAATTTATTTCCTGGAACTGCATTTTGGGAAGAAAAAAATTCCAATAAAAAATATTAAGAAAATATTCAAAAGGACACATACCAATTTTTCATCACATAACTATTATTTGGGGGATTTTAAGTGTTATTAATTTTTCATATTTGATTATAATTTCTAATTTTTAATATTGCTATCACTTGCATAATTAAAATATTGCTTGGAAGAGAGAATTTGAGCTGGCCCAAAATGAGAAATAATATTTTGAAAGATGAGAGAGCAACTGATGTAACTTTACTGTTAATTTCAGTTTTAATCAATTCAGCATGTCTACCTGTAAACATATCAATATTACTACTATCATCTTTATCATCTGAAAAAAATACATTTTCATTTATCCCTTATCAATTTCAAAAAATTTTTCTAGCAAATAATCATTATTGGCTATTTGAGAGCAGACAAATAAATAATAGATTTAACAAATTTAAGCTGGTGCTCAGCAGGTCTGCTTGGCTTAATATTTGATGCCATCCTCATTGGACATTCTGAACAGGGGTTCATTTTTACTTGAAAAGCTGATCTGTTAATTTTCCAGAGTTCTGACTCTGTCTACAAATAAATTTAACTTTTTATATGTTTGTAAGCTTATCTCCTTTTTTTTGAAATATTTATTTAGTTGTAGATGAACACACAGTATCTTTATTTATTTTTATGTGGTGCTGAGGATCGAACCCAGTGCCTCACAGGTGTGAGTCAAGCACTTTACCACTGAGCTACAGCCTCAGCCCCAAGCTTATCTTCTTTAAAAAATGCACCAATCATTTTCTGTGATGATGCTCAAATATTTGGAATATTAATTCAAACACTCGCTTCTATAATGGACTGAACCAATGTCTTCCCTCTTGCTCCCTCTCCTGGGGTTTTCGTTCCATCTCTGACTTTTCCCCCATTTCTTTCTCTTCTTCTTGGTTCCTCTGCACCTCTCCCATCTTGCCCTTCTCTTTGTCTGTGTTCCTTTATTTGTTTTGGTCCTCACTCACTTTCTTCTTCTCTGTTCCTTCTCTTTCTTTCTCTACTTTCATACTATTGTGTGTTCCCTTCTTTTCCCATTTCCTCTTCCTTTGCTGTCCCTCTGTTTGCTCTCCCTTGTCCCCCTATATGACAGGTCTATGACACATCACTGGAGAATGTGGAGGCTTTTGAAGGCCTGTCCGACTTTTGCAACACCTTCAAGCTCTACCGGGGCAAGACTCAGGAGGAGACAGAAGATCCATCTGTCATTGGGGAATTTAAGGTAAGTCCCTGAGGATGTGTCCCTGGGTCAGCCTAAGTGAAGAAGGGGGTGGAGCAGTAACTGCAGTGGTGACCATGGTGCTGATGTTGGTGACCACATGGGTGGTGGAAGTAGTGATGCTCCTGATGGTGGTAATGGGGCGGCATTGGGCTGGGTGAAGTTCATGTGATGATTCTCCTAGAGATGAGAGCAATGGTCATAATGGTTATCGTGTTGGTGACAATGCTAAAAATCAAAATTAACCTCTCATTCTTTTCAGGGCCTCTTCAAAATTTATCCCCTCCCAGAAGATCCAGCCATCCCCATGCCCCCAAGACAGTTCCACCAGCTGGCTGCCCAAGGGCCCCAGGAGTGCTTGGTCCGTATTTACATTGTCCGAGCATTTGGCCTGCAGCCCAAGGACCCCAATGGGAAGGTAACTTTCCTAGAGCACTCAGAATGGCAGGCATGACTACAAATGGCCACAGGAGTCTGGACATGGTCTCTGCCTCAGGGAGTCACAGTAGGCTGGGGAAACCAGAAAAACCCATGCAGAACTGAGAAGTCACTGGATGGAGTTTTTGTCAAGGACCAAAATGTAGGAGGTCAGAGAAGGGCAAAGTTGGCACAGGACTTTGGAAATAAGTAGAAGTTTTTGGGGAAGGAATAGGATTCTTAAGTACAGAAGGAATTTTGATAGGTCAGGAGGGAGAAGAAAGTAGTATTTTAAGAGAAGTCAAAAGCACAGGCAAAGGTTTGAAATGGGAGGGCTTGGTCCATGGGCAATTAGGATGCGACATAAGGATCAGTGTGGCGAAGGTGTAGCTGGAGGCTGGGATTTGCAGGGCATCCGTGGTGGGAAGGAAGGAACGAAGGAGGGAGGAGCAGGTTTGGTAACTGCTGTGCCCAGCTGTGGTGGAGCTGGAGGTAGAAGGAAAACCAGGAATGCTCGAGGTGCCTTTATTTAACATTCTGGTGTTTTGTTCATCATGGATTATTGGCATTGGTTTTAATTTTCAAAATACTGCACTGAAGTATTATTTATCTTGATTCCTGAGTTTTGGGGCCCTCCCTTAAATTGTGTGCCTAAGGCAAGAGACTCAGCTGTCTCACCCTAATCCTGGCCAGAGATGGAAGAAGGAGATTTGAAGGAGGGAAGGAGTCCCAGAGTCAAAGGGAGACAGTAAACTGGGTGACAGAGGAAAGCTGGAAAGAGAGAGGAAAGCTGAGAGGCAGGAGCGGTCCTTTCTTACCTCCTTTCACAGGTTCAGGCCTCCTGTGTGTCCTTGAGGCTGTGGGGAGGGGCTCAGCATTCTCCTCCTGCTGCCTGGCCTCTCAGGGCTGGGAGGTCAGATGATCCTCAGCCTTGGCACCACAGATGGCCTCCAGGATGTGGCCGGGTTGGCTTATGCCCTTCACACCTTCTCAAGCCAGACTTGCCCTGGGCCTTCTCTGGCCGGGCTGTTCCTGGAGGATAGCTGTAGGACTGCTGTTGCTTTTGGGCCATATCCAGGAGATCGGCTTGGGCCAGTCTTGGTGGAGAAAGTGGGACCATCTCTCCCCCTTTCCATCTGCTTAAGCAGCAGTCACAGAGAGGACCCCAGCCTGGCCTAGTCCCACATAGAATCCAGTCTGTCGTGTGTGCGAGCCTGGGGGCTGGGCCCCGCCTCCCCCAGCCTCTCCCAGTGGGGCGACGGATCAGGAGTAAGGAAGACTCAGGTGCCCCACTCCCGCTGCAGGGGCTGAGGCTAGAGGCTGTGTCAGGGGCCATGTGGTTTAGGGTGGGTCTCCTGGCCTGGCAGAACCCAGTCCACATCACAGCCTCCTAATGGCTGGCCCCCTCACCCCATCTGGAGGCAGGGGACTCAAGAAGCCCCCAAAGACACATTGGGAGAATGATTTCACTTCAGTGTCTCTGTGTTGTCCTTCAGTGTGATCCTTACATCAAGATCTCCATTGGGAAGAAATCTGTGAGTGACCAGGATAACTATATCCCCTGCACTCTGGAGCCTGTATTTGGAAAGTAAGTGGGGAGCAGCTGGGTCCCGGGCTGCAGAAGCCAGTCTGGATACCCCACAGACCAGTGGGCAGATGGGGCTGCTGCTGGGCAGTTCTTTTCTCCTGGGGCATAACTGTATTCCCTAAATCTTGCAATTGGTGGGTGTAATCTGAGCTAGCTCTCAGTGAGCCAAGGGCTGGAGTCCCAGCAGAAGCCCCTAGTTAACACACTTAACGATTGCCTAGATCAGAAATCTGCATGGAAGCTCAGAAGATAGATCGGTTAATTCCTTTTTGCATAAACTTTTTCTTTGGATTTACAGAAAAGTGACAGAGAGGATACCGATTGCATATAACTTTAGTCCTACTTTCTATCTTACCTTTGCCCAAATGAGGACATGACATCAGTGCGATGCTACCCACTAAACCCTGGACTTTATTGGCTCTCACCAGTTTTCCACTAATGTCCTTTTATTCTCCTTTTCTGGTCCAATGGACCATGCTTCACTCAATGATTTCTCTTTTAGTGCCCCACATGTGTCTGCCGTGGGTAGCTAGGGGAAGAATGTAGACCCGAGATAGTAACTGACTCTAGAACAAGAACAATAGAAGGAAGACTCAGTGCCCGTGCTGTGGAAGCAGCTTCTGGGCATCCTGAAATCCTGAATCGCTGCTTGGTTGTGAGCTTTTTTAGGTTGACAGCTGGTGGCTGTCTCTCTAGCACCTACAGAAGCAGCCTCTTCTGATAGAGTCAAGTGACATATTGAATTCATACCTAGTATCCGTTTGGTTAGTTGTTATCATTTAGCCTGTGACCAAGACTCTGTCAGCCTGGGGAAATGCAGATTTTGAAGGGCAAACGGATCTGGTCAGCAATGAGTCACCACCAGGCTGGGACTGGAGGGAAGCTGGAGGGTGCAGAGGGCAGCGCTGTTTGCTGAGCCCCAGTGGCTGGCACAGGGCTGTGGCTAGTGGTAACAGGCAGTGGATGGGCCTGTCCCACAATGTGTGTGCACCCAGGGCAGGTTGGAGAATACACTTCTCTCACTCCCATCTCCCTCCAAATCATGCCTGAAGGCTGGTGTGCCTGGTGCTTCTTGCTCCCTCAGATCCCAGCAGAAATACTCTCTACAACCCTTGAGATAATCAAACACAGCTTTGATGTCTGACAGTGCCCTTCCCTGATGGATGTTGTGGTAGGAACATGGCTTTTCTGCCCACTTTAAGTTCTATCTATCTATCTATCTATCTACCCACCCACCTACCTACATTCCTACCCACCCACCCATCCATCCATCCATCCACTCACCCACCCATCCATCCATGCATCCTAGAGACTGAATCCAGGGTGTTTTACCACTGAGCTGTACACCCAGTTCTTTAATTTTTTACTGTGAGCAGGGTCTTGCTGAGTTGCCAAGGCTGGCCTCGAACTTGTGATCCTCAGCCTCCCAAGTGCGGCATTACAGGCATGAGCCACTGTGCCCTGCTAAGCTCAGCCACTTTAAGAAAGCCACAAACTCACAGCCATAGGGGTGAAGCTACTATGCTCATCCATGTTTAACCCTAAACACCCTGATGGTGCTAGGGGAGTATTTTCCTGTTCAAGCTACTCTTTGGGTTCCCCAGATGCAGTGTGTGGGTGAGCGTGTGGAGGGTCTCTGCCTGTCCCCTTGCCCTGCTTAGTTTTTCTTCCCCTCCACTGTGGCTGGGGAGCGCAGGTCAGGGGAAGGGTCTGTTCCACGTGCCAGCTGCCCTTGTTGTTCAGCTGCTCTCTGGGTGGCAAATATTTTGAGCCAGTTTATTTTCCTGTGGGTGCTTTCAAGAGGCTCTTAGAGACCCTCTGAGCCTCTTTCTCTCCTCTTGGGATGTGGGAGATGCTGCCTCCCTGAGCTGAATGTCTCCTACCCCCTGGTCCTCAGATGGCCTGGTTCTAAGATGGCCCCCTCCACAGTCTCTGGCTGTTGGAACCCTGGGAGGTCCTTTGGGGCAGGATTCAGAGCAGATCCAGTCTGGCCTTGAGGCAACCCCCTCCTCTGTGAGATGCAATTGGGTCCCTTGCTCAGCTGTGGACGGGAGAGCAGTACCTCCAGATGGGGCCCCGCCTCCTCCTCTCTGCAGAGTTAGCGTCCTGAGTGTGAGTTAGGCCGTGGGCTGTGCCTCCCACTCCAGGGAACTCATTTCAAGGGGAAGAGGTAGAATACCTCCACCTTGACCCAGGTGGTGGCCAGGGGCTCAGACCCTGCAGGAGCTCCTCTCCCCAAAAAAATCTGCTCAAAAATCCTTTTTTCATTCTGCCCTAGAAGTTGGTGTGCTGCCCTACGTGCCCAGAGAGTGGGTCCTGGGCCAGCCCCTTGGTAAATGCCAGAGCTCTGGCTCCTGGCTTTGGAGTTTGACATCTCCTGTCTCCTGGTGGTGTAGTGGGAGCTTCAATTTTAACTTTCTGTTCCACTTCATTCATTCATTCTGGGGGCTGCCAGGCGGGTACCTGTTCAACCCAGTTTATAAGGGACACACACACACACACACACACACACACACACACACACCCTCACCCTCTCAGACAAGCTCTGTACAGAGTCTTATGGGTGATGTGCTCTATGAGTGAGTGACAGGAGACTGGAGAAGGGTGGACTTTTGAGCTCCTGCCCTCGTCCTGCTCCTCGATGGGTCTGTTGACATCAGGGGGCTGGCAGTGTCCTGAAGTCCACCCCTCCTGCAGGATGTTTGAGCTGACCTGCACTTTGCCTCTGGAGAAGGACCTGAAGATCACCGTCTACGACTATGACCTCCTCTCCAAGGATGAGAAGATTGGGGAGACAGTCATTGACCTGGAGAACAGGCTGCTGTCCAAGTTTGGGGCCCGCTGTGGACTCCCGCAGACCTACTGTGTGTACGTGCTTAGGGCTGGTTGCTTCTCTCACAACCAGTCACCTTGTCTATTGAGCTTTTCTGTGTGTCCACCTTGGGCTTAGCACTTCCCAGGTGTTCTCCCCTTGAGCTCAATGTGGGCCTTGACTTCACTTAACAGATGAGGAGACTAAGGTGCAATAAGGCCCGTGGCTTATGAGTGGTGTGCTTAGGATTTGAACCTGTTCATCTGACTCTAAGGACCTGCCTCTTGTTTGTATTGTTATAACCCAGTTCTCTGATATACCATGGAGGCCTGCAGAGAACTGGGCACCTGGGAGGAGATGAAGAGGGAAGGAGGAAAGGAGATGTCAGTGGGCTTCCACTGGGCCTTGCGGGGAACTCTGGGATGGTCTGTCAGGGGACTCGCAGGTGGATGGTACCTCTTCCCACCATCTTGAGTCTTGTTTGGGTCTGATTCTCTAACTCAGGAAATTGGAAACATCTAAGTACCAATTCCATGGGTACTTAATCCTTTGCCTCTTTGGTCCTCTGTTTTTCCATCTAGAAAATGATGCAAGTGGAGGGTGGGTGATGCTGTCTGGGGGTTTCACAGATCATTACCGACCCTTCTGCCCCATTCAATGTCCTTGGAGTGTCTCATCTTTGCCTTGTACTTGGGCTTCAGCTCTGGACCGAACCAATGGAGGGACCAGCTCCGCCCCTCCCAGCTCCTCCACCTCTTCTGCCAGCAGCACAAGGTCAAGGCCCCCGTGTACCGGACGGACTCTGTGACCTTTCAGGATAAAGAATATACCATTGAGGAGATCGGTGAGCTGTCCCGTGACCCCCAAACCACGCCGAGTCTCCCTCTCTCTCTTCTCCTCTTTCTTCAGGTTTTCCCCTGTTGTAAAGGCTCAGGTGGACATGGTCCACGTCAGCAGGGCGAGGGCTTGGGTTTCTCTAGGGCAGCGCAGATGCACTAAGCTTACCCTTGGTGTTTTAGGTCCACTATGTAGCCATGACACCGTTGTGAAAATCAGAGGTCAGGGTGGGGTCAAGGTCAGTGGTCAGGGTCAGAGCTCTGTCCAAGACCATGTTGGAGCTTATCTGAGGGCAAGGATAGGAGTGAGTCTGAAGCCAGGGTCAGGGTCAGGGTCAGAGATAGGATTCATCTTCTGGCTTTGGTAATTAGACTTTGTTCAGAGTTTGGGGGACATCCATCTCTGAGAAAAAATATTCTACTTGAATTGCAGCAGCCCACCAGCTGGACCTTGATGCACCTTCTGAGTCCCTCTGGGTACCATCCATGCACCTATGTCTCCAAAGGGCAGGCAGGAGGTCTGTCATTGCCCAACCCCTGCCCCCGGTTCTGCCTGATACTGATGGCTGAGATCCCCCCACATGCTCTCCATGTGTCTGGGATGCCACAGGCCTGCACTGCCCACCCAGAGCAGCTCAGCCTCCCCGGAGGTGTTTACAGGCCCAGCTGGCCCCTCGCCTCCTGCTTGTTTCAGAGGTGTTTGATGTCAGAGCTGGTGCTGAGGTTATAAAAGGGAAATGACAGCTTTGATGCCTCCCTGCCCAGGTCCCCCTCCTCCTCCTCGTTCTGTTTTCTTCACTCCCCCAGATTATGGCCGAGCCAGGCTCAGCCATCAGGCACCACCCCCCTTTTCCTATGGAGCGTGCATCTGATCTAGGGATAGTCTCATTTCCTCCAGTGGCCACTGTTGCTCTGTGAGCACATTTAGCACAGGGACCAGGGCTCGTGGGCATAAAATTGTGAGGTCCAACATCTGCCTGATTTTGCAGATGAGGCCATTGAGGCCAAAAGTGGTTAACAAACTGCCCAGAGTCACCCAGGCAGCTGGGAACAGAGCTGGATCACTGGCTCCTACAGGGACATTCTTCTTTCTTTGGGACCCCTATTAAGGTGGGCAGGGCAGGTCCAATGGGTGAACGTGTGTGTATGTGTGTGTGTGTGTGTGCGTGTGTGTACGTGGCCACACCTGAATGCCCTGGGTGTGTACTTGTGGGTGTGTACGTGCATGTGGACCACCATCACTCCCAGACAGGCCTCTAGCACAGGGGCCTCCAAGTCCGTGTCTCTGGCTGGTAGGCCAGGCTTCTCAGGGTCCTGTTTCTGGTAACTTTTTGTCCTCTCTGGGGTAGAGGCTGGCAGGATCCCGAACCCACACCTGGGCCCAGTAGAGGAGCGCCTGGCTTTGCACGTTCTTCAGCAGCAGGGCCTGGTCCCCGAGCACGTGGAGTCACGGCCCCTCTACAGCCCTCTGCAGCCAGACATTGAACAGGTAGGACCTCAGCCTCTGGGTCCTGGAGTCCTTGAGCCCTAGACCCCACCCCAAGGTCAGCATGAACACCTAAAGGACCCACTGGAGACTCTGGGATTTGGCCAGTCCCTCTTTGACCCATTCCTTTGCAGTCTGAGTGGTCACCACTGGAACTAGGAGGGACCTCTAGGAACTGGCCTCCCTGGCCACCTCCAGCTCTCAGAGGTGGGGGGTGAATCCCAGCAACCCCTTTAGCCATGTGTAGGCCCAGCCTCTGACTTCAGTCCACCATTCTGGAGCCTCACTGTTCTACCTGGTCCTCAGGGTGTCTCCCTGCTCACTGCCATCTGTCAGAGGCTCAGTGTCAGATGCCCAGCCCTGTGCTGAGCTGCAGCTGGGTGTTCAGAGAGGGTTCCTAGTACCCTATGACCAAAGGGCAAAGAAAGCCATAGAGAGCATCCACAAGAGGGGCAGGGGAACCCTCCCATGCAGAAGGGTGGGGTGAGCCTGGAGGAGATGAGCCCAGAGCTGGGTTTGGAGGAAGCTAAGGGGAGAGAAGGTCACAGATGAGAAGGGGTCAGGGTGAGTCCTGGAGATGCCTTTGTCAGAAGCAGACTCTCTTTCCCTAGGTGGCTTGGTAACCAGCCTCCCCAAGGTAGTGCAAGGTCAGCACTGCAATCCCTGCCCCTTAAGATGGGGACAAAATTCACACTGGGCTTGCAGAGAGGGTGGGGCTGAGGGTGGGCAGGTGGAGGGGCTTCCTTTCCTGGAGACCTTCTGAGTCCCCTGACTAAACCTTGCTCTGTGCCCCCCACCATATTGCATAGACTACTCCCTAGCACACATCAGCCCCCCTGGGGAGCCTGCCAGGTTGGTGACCTGTGGGGAAGTTGGCTCACCTCTGCAGTGGACCCTGCAGTCCCTTGATTAGGGTCCCTTCCCCACAGGGCGGGAAGCCTCTTCCTGGAAGGGCCTGAGTTTTCTCTGTCCTGTTCCCCAAGTGCCTGGCACAGAGCAGCTGTGCCATGGCCGTTTGAATGTAAAGGCTGGTGGCAAAACAGGCTTGTATCTCACAGGGGAAGCTGCAGATGTGGATCGACCTGTTTCCCAAGGCCTTGGGGCGGCCTGGACCTCCCTTCAACATCACCCCACGGAGAGCCAGAAGGTGACTGACCCAACCCCAGGCTCCCAGCTAAGCTGGAGGAGGGAGGGTCGTGCTGGCTCTGGGTGGGAGCAGCAGGTTGCTCTTTGGCCAGGCTTTATGTGACTTGGGGCTCAGAGTCCAGCTCTCCTTTGGGTCTGGTCAAGTGTCCAGCAGGCATGTGTTAGGCCTTCCTGGATAAGCCAGCTGCTCAGCTCTGGTGGGAAATCTGAGTGGATTTGAGTCTTTCTCCATCCCCTCAGGTTTTTCCTACGTTGTATTGTCTGGAACACCAAAGACGTGATCCTGGACGACCTCAGCATCACAGGCGAGAAGATGAGCGACATTTATGTGAAAGGGTAAGGCGCCATGGCCATTCTGCCTGTGCCCGCTCAGCGGCTTGCCCTGTACCCTCGGGAGGCGCCCAGTGGGTGGAGCTCTGGGAGAACAGCAGGCTTCAAAGGAGGGTCTTGGAGGGTCTCCTCCTTTGGGACATTGTCCCCCCAGCAGATTTCTTTTGCACTCATCTTTGGGCTAAAGTTACAAGGTTTGAGGATGCCCCGAGACAGTGGCTGAGATGTCAGATTGCTTTCTGATGTATGGCACGTTTTTGCATCTTGGAGATTTCCTGGGAGTTCTCTTGCCATATCGTTTACCCAGTTCATTGACCTTTGTAATTCCTCATTCCCAAGTTGGGGACGTTGTGAATCTTAAAAATAAATGCTTTTGGCGTGTGTGTGTGTGTGTGTGTGTGTGTGTGTGTCTAGCTGGATGGTCGGCTTTGAAGACCACAGACAGAAGACAGACGTGCACTACCGCTCCCTGGGCGGCGAGGGCAACTTCAACTGGAGATTTATTTTCCCCTTTGACTACCTGCCTGCGGAGCAAGTCTGCTCTGTCTCCAAGAAGGTGAGTGTCCCTCGTCCCCAGGGCTCTCGGTCCAGACTTTGCATTGCCAGTGGGATCCCATGGCTACTGTCCCCATCAGTGTCCCCACCACTCTCCCCTCTCCATCGTTGCGGATGGAGTCTTGGGGTCTACATGGGAAGAGAGGGAACCCCAGCCTGGTCACCGGAGGTGCAGAGAGGGGTGACTTCTGGGGAGCTTCCCAAGAGGGCTGGCCTGGTGTGTGCCTGGGTTGCCTGTAGCACTGGGCATGGCTTGGCAAATCCCTCTGGCTGCCTGGCCTCCTGCAACTGTGTCCTGTGTCTGAAGTTGCTGTCCAGGTTGGACAGTCCCCGGGAGCCTCAAGTGCTGCCCTCCTCTCTCCACTCCACCACCTCTCGCTGCAGGCTGAAGGCACCTGGAGAGACAGGCCAGCAGCAGCCAGCAGGGAGAGGTGGATTTGGGGACCTCAGTCTCTGTGTCTCAGCATCTCCTACTTTAGGTCTCCTCTGGGCCACAGTCTCTCTACCTCTGATCTAGGCAAAGTCAACGGCAGGCACTTCCTGCCTGAGGCCCGCCCTTAGGGAGCAGCCACCAGAGCACAGTGAAGGGCTTGCTGTGGGCAGTGAGGGGCTCTGGCCAGACTGACCGGAGGCAGAGGGCCCCTGGGAGCTTCTGATCACCCTCATCCACCACTTTGCCTGGCATGTCTTGCCACCTGTTGGTGCTTTCCTGCTTAAGGAGGCAGATCCCTCTCTGTGTAGGTCCTGCTGGTCTGGTTTCCATCTGGGGGTGTCTCAAGGCTTCAGGCCCCAAAGCCCCTATGATTTTTTCTCTCTCTCTCCTGACTGGCTGCGAGAGCTCAGAAAGGGCCAGGGGCCAGGGCGGCTGGGGACCTGGGCTTGGGCTACCTTGCTCTTCTCAGTTCTCCTCATGGCTTCCTCTGCCTGATCCTTCCTAGCCCAACACAGAGTCACCTGCACTTTAGAGAAACCAAAATGTCCATTGGACATTCTCAGACCATCAAACAGAAGAAGACACAGAGAAACAAGGTGAAAGGGTTCGCTGGGTAGCACCTGCCAGAGAGCAGAAGTTAGCCACAGGTTCTGTGGAGTCAAGGACAGCCCAGACTGTTGCTAGGTCTCATCTCGTGTGCCTTTGCCCAGTATTTGTCTTTCCCAATACTGGTGTCAAAATGGAGCACATGCTGCCATCTGTCAGAGAGCACCATGTCATACAGGTCCCAACCCCCCTCCCGAGTCTGCTGTGGACAGGGAGAGCGGGGCCAGGAGTAGAGAACAGAGCCGTCTCAGGGGCTCCCCAGGCCCTACAGGGGCTGGCACAGTAGGGGAAAATGGGGCCAGGAGATGCACATGGCCACTCTGATGGGAGATGAGGCAACCCCTTCACTGTGACAGGTGAAGGGGTGTGGCCAGAGGAGAGGTTTCTGTCTTTTTCTTTGAAATAACAGAAGAGAGATAAACTGGCCTGTCACGTGATCTGGGACAAGTGGAAAGGGTGGGAAACAGTGGCTATGCTGAGTGGGAGAAAGAGGAATGGGGAGGGGACATGGAATATGCTGGTTGGTGGCATGAGAAGGGTGACCTGGCATCTCTGAGGGCCCAGGTGGAGTTGCTGATTAATAACTTGGGCATCAGTGAAGTTCTGTGTCTGCATCGAAGGCCTTGGTGAAGAAGCTGGGTTAGCTCACGGGGTACCAGAGGAAGCACCGAGGCTGACCGGGAGTATCTGCCTGGCCTGATGGTCTCCACTTGGGAGGAGAAGCCTATATGGAAAGGGATGGAGAAGAGGGAGAGGAGTCAAAGAGTGAGTAAGAGGCACATTTGGGGAGGAGGGGACAGCAGGTGCTCCTGACCTCAGGCTCTGAGCAGAGGATGGCTGGGGGCAGGGACTGAGGTCACAGGAGGAGGAGGAACAGAAACAGCCCAGGTGGTTCTGAAGGCAGCCTCTGGGGAGAAGGGGCCCTGGGTGGCAGGTGGAGCCATGCCCACAGCAGGGCCCTAATTAGCTGGTCTGGGCTGACGGACATGTCTGAGGTGGGCTGGTTCAGGGGCTGTGCAGCCTGTGGGCTCCCCGGGCCTGCTGCAGAGCCAGCCCTCGGCCGTGGGCTTCAGGGCCTCTGGCAGGCAGGCCCTCCAGGGACCCCATTAACCAGACGAGACTGTCGTAAAGTACAAGGTCTCCTTTCATCCGGCTGCTTTGAACCACCGCTGGTTGCCCTGGCCCCGCTCCCCACCTGGAGCCCAGCACACCCACCGGGGCCTGCAGTGCGGCAGGCACCCACCCTGCAAATAAACAGCTAGTAAAAGGGCCCAGGCTGGGAGCATAATGAGCGCCGGGGACCTGGGGGGCTCATTCCCCAGGCTGGAGCCCCCGCCCAGCTGCTCCCACCAGGGGCTGTTTGAACCTCTGGCTCATTACTGAGCCCATAAACCAGGCCGGCCAGAGGATCGGAGGCTGCTGGCGGCCCTGCAGGCGGGCCTGGAGCTGGCCATAAAAGCTGGCCAGAGGAGGCAGGCACCTGCAGGAGGGCTGGGCTGGGCTGGGGCCTGGAAAAGGGGAACATCAGACAGAGTGCCGGGGGCCAGGGCGGCTGGGGACCTGGGCGCCTGCTCCAATCCAGGCAGCAGTCCCGTAGGTGGCTGTGCACCATGCCCACTCCTCAAGGGCCATGGTCATGGGCTCAGTAGAGAGCCCCGTGAGATCTGTGTGACCATGCTGCTCAGTGGGCACTCAGGACCCGTGAACCTGTTGTCCCCAGCACCTCCAGTGTCCCTGAGACTTGGGTTCAGGCCCTCCTCTGTCTGCCTCTCTAGATCTTTGCCTGTGCTTGCCACCAGCAAGAGAAAGAACAAGCCACTGTGAGCAGGACAGCCCTGTGACGGCCCTTGGGGTCAACTGTGGCTAGAGTCAGGGGCTGGCTCGGTCCCACACCCCTCAGTTGCTCCATGAGGCTCTGAGGGAAGCAGTCCAAGGTGACCTGGCTCCAGGTGGAGCTGGTGCGAGGGAGGTGGGACCACGAGAAAGGGACCCCTCCTCTTGTTCCAGTAGGAGGATAGGGACTCCCAGTGCTGGGGTAAGCTCTGGAGGTGCAGAGGTATGGAGAGGGGTGATGAGGGACGAGCTAGGGTCCTGGTCCCAGTGCCAGCTCCTTACCGCAGTGTGCTGTGGTTCCTTCTGGTGCCAGCCAGGGTGGGTGGGGGATCCTAGGTTCTCAGCCCACTGTGCTGCTGAGATCACATGTGCCAAGCAGGGCTGAGAGCAGGATCCTGGAAGCTGACGGCCTGGGTTGGAACCCCAGCTTGCCACTTCCTGCCATGGGACTTTGGACAAGTTACTTGCTTTGGTCTCCTCAGCTGAAAACATAGTGTCCCCTTGTAGGCTGTTGGAAGGATCATGCGTCTAGTGGTAGAGGGCTGCCAATGTGTAGGAAATGTGACATTAATGTTTTTATTATTAACTGTTAAACCTGGGCAAAGTCCTCTAACTCCTTCAAGCCTCAGTTCTATTGTCTGAAAAGCCAGTGATAACCTTGACTTACAGGCTTGGGAGGCTAATGGAGCCAGCTGACGTGAGGTGAGCCTGTGTGGTCTTCTTGTGGATCCTGAACACTACCTTCCAGAATCTGCCCTTACCAGCCTTCCCACCAGGACTTGGCTCTGGCAGGTCCCACTCCAGGGACAGCCTACTCCACCTCTTCTTCCAGGCAGCCCTCCAGGTTGCAGGGACTGTGGCCTCGCTAATGTTTTTTCCCTGTTTCCTTCTCTGCTCTTCCTCTGGGTCAGGATGCCTTCTGGAGGCTGGACAAGACAGAGAGCAAAATCCCAGCAAGAGTGGTATTCCAGATCTGGGACAACGACAAGTTCTCCTTTGATGACTTTCTGGGTGAGCCTTGTTTCTGGTCGGCCAACACTGTGTATCAGAGGCTGGTCCAGAACCCGCTGTGTGTGTGTGTGTGTGTGTGTGTGTGTGTGTGCATGCCCGTGTGCCCCTGGGAAACCTGGTAGGGTTTTCTGCTCTCAGGGGGCTCAGAGTCACTGAGTCCCCAGTGCTGAGTGAAATGTATGACAGGACAGTGTCAGATTGATCACAGTGATCAGAGTGGCCTCTAGGGTGGGCCTCTTGCAGAGGTAGCATTGACCACTGGGCCATGTTGGATGGGGGACTCAGGTAGGTGAGGAAGAGGGGAAACTCAGGCTGAAGCCTGCACAGGTGTGTGCTGCCTGTCACAGCTGAATGGCTTCGTGCTTGGCGGGTGCTCTCGTTGCACCCCAGTCCAGGCAGATTTGAGTCCAGAAATCAAGGTGTTCCAGCCACTGCTCATCCTTGTGCCCAGGTGCTGGCTGAAAGAACAAACCACAGACTCCATCCCCCAATCCCAGGGGTTCGGTGGGGCTGGTGAGATCCTGAGCTGGGAGCAGGGAGCTGGGCTAAAGGGTTGGCCGGAGGCAGTGCCTCTGCAGGGGTGGGATGTGGGGACAAAGACGGCGACTCTGCGTTAACTCTTCCAGTGTTAACTCTGGAAAACGGGGAACATCCATAGGGTATTATTCAGCCATAAAATGCCACAAGAAAGAAATGAAATGCTGTCCCATGACACCATGGAGGAACCTTAAGAATAAGCTAAGTGGGTGGTGGTTCATGTCTGTCATCCCAGGGGCTGAGGAAGCTGAGGCAGGAGGATCACGAGTTCAAAGCCAGCCTCAGCAACTTAGTGAGGCTAGATGTGGCTCAGTGGTTAAGTGCCCCTGGGTTCAATCCTGGTACAAAAAAGAAAAAAAGAAAGAAAAACATGCTAAGTAAAAGAATCCAGATGCAGAAGGACAGCTATTTCATGACTCCGTGTATAGGAAAGGCCCACAGGAGGCGAATCCACAGAGAGGCAGAACCATCAGTGGGGATTGGGAGGAAGAGGCAGGGTGGAAAGGGACTGCTTAGTGGGTACAGGGGTTTCTTTTGGGGCTGATGAAAATGTTCTGGAATTAGATGGTGGTAGTGGTTACACAACTCTAAATGCACTAGAAGCCATTGATTTGCACATTTAAAAATGGTTACAGTGCGGGCTGGGGTTGTAGCTCAGTGGTAGAGCCCTGGCCTCACACATGTAGGGCATTGGGTTCAACATTCAGCACCACATAAAAATAAAGGTATTGTGTGCATCAACAACTAAAAATATATTTTTTAAAATGGTTAAAGTATTAAATTTTATGCTATTTGAATTTTACCTCAATTGTAAAAAAAAAGTTTTAAAAGAATTTGAATCCATGGTAAAGGCAGCCCACGGAAGTCAGGATTCCTGGCTTCCATTTCTGCTCTGCCACCTGGGAGCAGGGTGGCCTGTGTCAGATCACCGATGCCCTCCTGGATGGCTCTTTATTGCAGAAAGGGGAGCCCTCAGCCTCTGCAGGGGGCGTTCTGAGGAGCAGCTCTCAGCAGGGGAGGGCTGGCTGCCGATCAAACTGCTCTCATTTCCTGGGACTCCCACAATCCAGGTCCCACGCCCAGCAATCAGCACACTTAGGGCTGGGAGCTGCTCAGGACTTCATTATAGAGTCAGATGTAAAAGTGATGGCACCCAAATTGAATTTTGTTATTTGGCTTGTTATATTTGTCTATTATTCCTGTAGAAAGATTAGATGACCACGGTAAGAATGGTTCTTCCTCCTCCTTAATCTCACCACCCAGAGATAACCTCTACCAACCTTTTGATGTATACTATTGTATGTTGGTTCATTGATAAACAAACATGGATATGTATGCATTTTATGTAGATATATGACATGTATATAAATATTCATCTGCACAGTATGTGAAAGGGTGTGTATCATACATATTGTTTTATATTCTGGGTTTCTTTTTTTTAATTTAACATTTTGAGAGCACCCTCTCTGGTCCATAGGCATCCATCTACATTGACATCTGCATTACCACATTTGCCTGCCTGGTGTTTCATTGTGTAGATGGACCCTTTTTTGCTCGGTTTATCCTCTCTCGGTAGATCATCAGGCCATCTTTGGTTTTACCAATGTGAGTGACACCCCTAGGCAGACATATTTAGAGCCTTTGTACATCGCTGTCCTTAACTGTAGGAAGTAGATTTGTTAGAGTCTGAACACTCTAATGATTTTTGAAACATTTTGTTCAATTGCCCTCCAGAAAGATCTTATTTATATTTCTACTTAGGTGTCCTGTTTGTACAAGGGTGACATTTCTCCTAAACATTTGCTACCACTGTTACTTTTTTAAAAAAATTGTCAATGCCTTATTATTTTAATTTTTGTTTGCATTTATTACTTATAAGGTAGAATATAAAAAATATATTCATTAATCATATTGTTAGTGGGCCTTTTTTCCATGGTTTTGAGATGTTCATCTTTTATTCTTGGTTTTCAGAGCTTTTTATATATTAAGGATACCTTGCAAATTTCTTGCCATTTTTTCATTTGCTCTTAATATTTTTATGGAATCTTTTTGCTAGAGACATTAAAATTTGGGAGCATCATGGACTGGAGATGAAGCTCAAGAGTAGGGTGCTTGCTTAGCATGCATAAGTCCTTGGATTCAATCCTTAGGTTGGGAAAAAAATGGGAACATCCATACTTTATGGAGTGAGGCTTCAGAATTAATTTTGAAAAAGAAAAAAAAAAAGAAAAGAAAATTGTATTTTAACTGAATTAGAAAACAGTGTGAAAATAAAGTTAAACAGGCTTGTCCTCTATTTGTTTTTATTTTTTGGTGGTATTAGGATGGAACCCAGGGCCTCACATATGCTGGGAGAGTGCTCTGCCTCTGAGCTGTATGACCACCCACCCTTTCCCTGCTCCCTTTTTTAAAAAATTTGAGACAGGGTCTCACTAAATTGCTGAGGCTGGCTTCCAACTTGTGATCCTCTGCCTCAGCCTCCTGAACAGCTGGGACCACATCCCGCTTCATCCTTTGTTTTTTAAAATAAAACTTCATAAAACCATTAGCGAATACTATCTTTTAATTCTAGGAGATTTCTCTTTTCCACTTTATACTCTGTTTTATAATTAGATAGTTTATACCCTTTGAATATTTGTTACTTTTTAATCTTATTGGTAATAATTAAGCATCTATAATCTCACCATCCTGAGATAATCCTGTGTTTCCTTAACTATCTTTAATGTAGATCGTGATGGGATAATTTGTGTGTGTTTGCGTGTGTGTGTGTGTGTTAATACTCTGATAGTTACTTAATATTATATTGGGATCATATTTCAAATGGGAAATTAATATTTATCTGCACTGGGTGGAGGGATATGTGGGTAGATAGATAGATGAATGTGATGTACTGGTGAACAAGTGGATAGATATAGTGCTGAACAGGTGGAGGCTATAGAGGGAGGTAGATGGGTTGACATGGGTGGAGAGATAAAAGGAAAGATGGATTAAAGGATGGGTAGAAAGAAAGAAAGCCAGGAAAAAGAATAAGATCCAATGCCCAGCCACAGAAACTAAGCATTGTACGCTGAGAAAAATCTAAGCTTTCCATGATAATAATCTCTTCAATTTGGCCCCAGGAAACAATTTTGCAATCCATCTCTCCCATGAGTCCCTCATGACCGGGGCTCCAATCCTGTTGACTCCATCACATCTGATTGGATTAGGTGAAACCACAAGATTGCTGTTCTTGTAGGTCAAAAATAGTTACCTATTGGCATTTTGATATGGTTGAACCAAATAGCTACAGCTATGGAGAGAGGATGGATAGCACGGTAGGGTAGGTGACTCAGTGACAAGATGGCTGGTTGGAAAGCCGGGTGGGTGGATGAAGAGACTGGGGTGAACCACAGCGAGGCCCTGCTTCACACCTCCTAGGAGGGCAAGAATATAGTAATGCTACTGAGATGAAGTCAGAGGTGTTGAGGATGTGCAGAAGTCGGAACCTTTGTACCTTGCTTGGGTGGGTGTGACATGGTGCAGCTGCTGTGGAAAATGGTGTGGGATTCCTCACACACCTGGATTACCATAGGACCAGCAGTGCTCCCAGGGAATTGAAAACAGGAACTCAGAGACGTGTATGCCAACGTTTACTGCAGCATTATGCACAGTGGCAAAAGGTGAAACAACTCAGATCCATCAACACATGTATCAATATATAAAATGTGTTATATACATACAATGGAATATTATTCAACCATTAAAAGAATGTTACTGATGTGTACTATAAAGTGTATGAGGTTTGCCAACATTGTAGTCAATGTAATAATCCAGAGGCATAAGGGCAAATATTATATGATTCCCCTTGTGTGAAATATCTAGGAAAGGCAGATTAATAGAGACGGAAGGTAGACTAGAGATCTCCAGGGGCTAAGGGAAGAGGAGAATAGGGAGTTTTTGCTTAATGGATACAAAGTTTCTATTTGGAGATGAAAACATTTTGGAAATATTGGGGATGGTTTCCCAATACTGTGGCTGGAGTTAATGCCACCAAATTGTACATTTAAAATGGGTTAAGATGATCCATTTTATGATGTATATATTTCACCTTGATAAAAGTAATTTTAAAAAACCTGATGAATGTAGACATGCGTATGTGAATGGGGTGGTCCTCAGTAAGGTGAAGGGCAGAATCGGGGGCTTGTTAAGGGTGAGTCAACAGGATGAATGCAGATGGACACTGAGTAGATGGATGGGAAACTGGGGAGGGAATGAGAGGCTCCGGATGGGGGGTGGATGGTTTGTGGGATCTGGCCCATGGCTAAGCCATGAATTGAAGCTGAGGAGGTGACGGTGAGCTTTCTCGAGCCTGCCTGCCTTAGGGCCACCCAAGGCCAAAGCACATCTCTCTGTGGCAGGCTCCCTGCAGCTGGATCTCAACCGCATGCCCAAGCCAGCCAAGACGGCTGAGAAGTGCTCTCTGGACCAGCTGGACGACACCTTCCACCCGGAATTGTTTGTGTCCCTTTTTGAGCAGAAGACAGTGAAGGGCTGGTGGCCCTGTGTAGCAGAGGAGGGTGAGAAGAAGATTCTCGCGGTGAGTCTGCTTCCCCAGCCTCCTGGTGGAGGGTGCCTGGTGGCTTCTTCCTTAGAGAGTGGCGGGTAGCGCGTGCTCCCTGCTCCTCTCCTCTGTCCCTCTAGTTTCAGGGCATTCTCCTCCCCTGTCCCCTTTCCCATTCTCAGCCTTTCTTTCCTTTGAGGCTCACACCCAGGGGACACTTATTTAAATAGACTATGATGGCTGGGCAGGGCGTGGTGGCACACACATGTAATCCAAACAGCTCTGGAGGCTGAGGCAGGAGGATCATGAGTTCAAAGCCAGCCTCAGCAATGGAGAGGTCCTAAGCAGCTCAGTGAGACCCTGTCTCTAAATAAAACACAAAATAGGGCTGGGGGTGTGGCTCAGTGGTGGAGTGCCCCTGAGTGCAATCCCTGGTACCAAAAAAATATAAATAAAAAAATAAATAGATGGATGGATACATAGATAATGGACGATGCTTCTATTCTGTGTGTTCCTAACAGTGATCTGGGTTTCCTGGGGGATGGACGGGGTCGTGTCTCTCCCATTGGAGCAGGATCCTCCCTCCTGGCTCTGCTCTCCTTGCTGAGAGGTTTGATCTGGGGGGTGATTAGAGGACCAGGGAGAACCTTCTTTCCGCCCATCCCCCAGCCCAGAGCAGCTGCAGAAGGAAGCGAATCCCAGACACAGAAACAGCCGGCAGCCAGCCAACCCTAAAGTGGCTCTTGAAATAAAATACCCTTGTTATGTGAAGAATTGTAATGATTACTACAAAATACTAACACCCCAAATGAAGCATGAGCAAAGGACCTCCGTAGATAATCTACAGAAGTGCAGATGTCCATTAATCATGCAAAAAAAGGGGTTTATTCCTTCTAGTAATTAAAAGACTATTTTTAATGTGATTTTTTGTTTATTAAATTAGATATCAAAAAAGAAATACTGACCAATGGTGAGAACGTAGAGAGACAGACCTCCCCATTTACTTTGCTAGGAGTGTTAGAGGTTTTAGTGTGGGGAGAAGCACTTTGGTAGCATACAGCAAGAGATGTAACCATATTTATGCCTTTAGACTCTGTTGTCCCACTTCTAAACTCTCTTCTAAAGAAGTAACCAGATAAAATGAAAAAGTTCTGGGATGTTTGCTGCAGCATTATTTATAATATCAAAGAGTTGGAAACAACCTAAATGAACCAAAATAAGTAGTTTACTGAAATACATTACAGTTAAGCACCCATGAAATGTTTTACAATCATTAAAAAGCAAACTTTAAAGAACATATAATTATATACTGAAATATATTCCTAAGTGAAAAGAGTGAGCCGTAGACCTGTGTATACAGTGTGATATTTCCTGCACTTGCAGCTTTGGGGCATAAAAGGTTACTAACTGCTTGTCTGCACGCGGTGGAGGTATGGATGATAATCTTTCTTTATACATTTCTGTAGATTCTAAGTGTTCCCCAGGGAGCGAGTACTGCTTTTATCATCACAACATCTGTACATCTTAAAAATATTAAAAAAATGAAGTGGCCTTATGTTCATCCCAGCCTGGCTCCTCTCCAGGCCACCTGGTAGTCCCTAATCAGACTGTGTATCCCCCCCCTCAGGGCAAGCTGGAAATGACCTTGGAGATCGTGTCAGAGAATGAGCATGAGGAACGGCCTGCTGGCCAGGGACGGGACGAACCCAACATGAATCCAAAGCTCGAGGATCCAAAGTTAGTGCCCAGCCCCATTCCTGGTGCCCAGGAGGTGGAGGGGTACAGGCCCTCCTGGAGGGGGCACCCAATGCACAGCCATGCACAGGTCACAAGGCCCACATGGCTCAGAGAGGGGCAGGTGACAGGCATCATTTCAGGGGTTGTGTGCCAACGTGCTGTCATACAGCATGTACACCTTGTCCTTGGGAACCGTCCCTGCTGGGTGGTCATTATCCCCATTTTACAGGTGAGAAAACAAAGCAAAGTTAAATAAGGTTTTTCCAACTAGGAAAGTAGGGAAGCTGAAATTCTCCAGTGTGCTCTGATTAGCTCTCATCAAGGTCTTCCCCTTCACCATGCTGCCTCCATGACTGTCCTCTGGTGTTGTGGCTTTCGGATGACTTTTTGAGCTCCATTTTCCCATCTGTGAAATGGGGAGACCAGTGCTTTTTTTCCCCCGACTAAATACAATTTTTATTTTATTTATTTTTTATTAGTTATACATGACAGTACAGTGATCTTGACATTTCATACATTTGAATCAAATGGGGTATAATTTCTCATTTTTTGATTGTAAATACAATTTTTAAATCCTTTTTTTTTATACCATACATCTCTTAGGAAAATAAACCAAGCCAGTGGATGTGGGCTTCTCAAAGGCAGCTCTTGGACAATCACTAAAAGACACTTGGGGCCAGGCAGGGTGGCATATGCCTGTAATCCCAGTGGCTTGGGAGGCTGAGGCAGGAAGATTGCAAGTTCAAAGCCAGCCTCAGCAACTTAGTGAGGCCCTCAGCAACTTAGCAAGACCCTGCTTGTAAATAAAATATGAAAAAGGGCTGGGGACGTGGCTCAGTGATTAAGTGCCCCTGGGTTCAATTCCTGGTAAAAAAAAAAAAAAAAAAAAAGACTTGGGGACTCAAGGCTGTGTGTGATGTCCCCAGCCAGCCTGCTTAGTACAGACGGCTCATTTTGACACAGCGCTATCCTGAGTGCCATGCATCTAGCCGAGCTGTGAGGGGTGTGGTTGCCCCCGGATGCTGGGATCTGGTAGACAGAGAAGAGAAAGCCGTGAGACCCAGGGGTACAGTCAGACGTGAACAGGCCTTGATCTGGACACAAAATCCTGCGTGTTCTTTTGAGCTGTGGGGCTGGCTGAAGGGAGGGTTTTGAGGTTCTTGGTTGGGAGGGAAAGAAAATCAGCCTCTGGGTTCTCTTCCCACCATCCTCCCCAAGTGCGGCCCAGCCATGGCCATCTGGGAAAGTGGGTAGCTGCTCTGAGGCCCATGGGCCACGGCTCACCCAACATGGCAGCTCCCAAATCTGGGGTCTGTGATGAAGGCCTGAGGCATAGGCTCTGGGGAAGGCGTCCTGGGGAGGACGGCTGGGGACCAGCTCCGGAGCACCGAGAACAGGAGGGCGGCACAGTCAGGGCTGGTGCTGCAGCAGGGGCTGGGGACAGGGATGCAGACCCTGTCTGCTAAGTTTGGGGGCAGAGGCTGGGGGCCTGGGTGAGTCCTGGGCACCCTGGAGGCCAGGGCTATTCGACCTGCAGGCTCAGGTCCGCTGACCCCTGGGGTCTTGCTTCCAGGCGCCCTGACACCTCTTTCCTGTGGTTCACCTCCCCGTACAAGACTGTGAAGTTCATCCTGTGGCGGCGCTTCCGGTGCGCCTTCATCCTCTTCCTCATTCTCTTCATCCTGCTGCTGTTCCTGGGCATCTTCGTCTACGCCTTCCCGGTGAGCAGGCCCGATGGGGAGGCAGATGTGCCGACCTGGGGGAGCTCTTGGGCTGCTGGGGAAGCTCATCCTTGACTGTGAGGAGCTCCCTCTGTCTCCTCAGGGAGAGGAGTAGCCTCTGTCCCCAGGAGTCCCTGGTCCCATGAAGGGACTAAGGATGACCCTGGGGAGCCCTTGGTCCCGGGGGGGTGGAAACTGAGTCCTTGCCCTGGACGGGGAGACACAGCTGTCTTCAGCGAGCCCCTGGAACATGTGTCATCAAGGGGTTGGCAAAAGATGAGGCCCCTTGGGATGGAGCGAGCAGGGGAAACTTCTTGAAGGAGGGTGTGGAAACTGGGTCTGGACGGGAAGTTAAGAATTGGGGGGACCACAGGGGATGGCCACTCTGCCTTGAGGACCCCACTTGCTAAGTCCAGAGGAAGGGAGAGGCTGGATCCAGGAGAGGGTCCCAGTGTCTCCTGAAGACCTTGGTAGAGTGTTCCTGCCTCCTACAGTGGGGGTGGGGATGGAGAAAGGGGGGAGTCTGGCCCAGGAGCCCCTCGTTTGCAGGGCACACAATGGAGGGTCCCTTTCACTTGGTAAGAAGCCAGCTGATACCTGGCAAAGAGCTTGCTAGGCCCATACCAATGATGGCTGCTGTGTCCCCAGCTCCATGGGACCCTCACCAGGGAAGGGGGTGCTCAGGTGTCTGCCCTGGCTTTTACAGGTAACCCTGAAAATGCCCCAGCCCCCAGTGTCTCTAGAACTTTAGACATTGAAAGGATCACAGCATTCTCAGGATCACACCTGATTTCTCACGTCCTTTACATCTTTAAAAAGCTTTGTAATATGAGCATTTTAAACCTATATAAAAAAGTAGAGAGAAGGGTGTAATCAGCCCCTGGATACACTGATTTTCACAACAAAGACTCGGAGGGGAAGGGCTGGCTCCAGGCACACAGCCCCTGTCCAGGGATCACTGGTTTCTCGCTTCAGTCCGGGAGCCTCGTCCTCATTGCAGCAGCTGCTGGGAATGACTCCCAGGCAGCTCTTCGCTCTGTGAACCCTCCAGGAGGTGGAAAGGGGTGGAGACTCCCCCGCTGAGAGTTGGTAGCTGGCATTGCCTTGTCGGCAGAGTGTGTCCCAGAGGAGGAAGCTTTGAAACCATAGACCACCCCATGCTGTCTCTAATGTCATAAACGGAGAGGAGCCATGGAGGGACGGATGTCCAGGCCCCAGCTCTCTAGGGGCCAATGCAAGAAAGAAGGCCCAGAACCAGGATGGCTGATGGGTCCAGCTACGGGCCAGGCCCCCCACGCTGGCTGGGGTCACCTCGGGTGCCTTGTTAACATGTTTTCTGGGGCTAGGAAGAAGAGTTGAGGTCAACTGGCTAAACTGGACTGTGGTCCAGGGGTGGACCCAGATTGGGGGGCCCTGAAGTTTGTATCATTTCAGGGGCCTCTTTAAGAAAGGAAAAAGAGATCCCAAGGTTAGAGACAGGTCTGTAGAAGGAACCACTCAAGTATGGTGTCCTGGAGCACAAGCTGCTGCCGGAGGTGACCTGGGCTGTGACAAGGCCCCAGAGCTTCTGCCTGGGATTTGCTCCCAGGGGCGGCCCAGGCTGCCCAGCTCCCGTCTCTGGGCCAGCTCCAGCTGGGTTTTGCTCATTGGACATACCGGCTGCCATCAGCTAGCTGGGGAGACTTTCTCAAGCAAGCACATGTGTCTGGGCAGAGTGGACATGTTGGGGGCATGAGGAGATGAGGAGGCCTGTGCCACCAGAAGTTCTTGGTCTCCTGGGAGACATTGAATAAGGACGAGTAAGGATGACCACAGAATAAGGATGACCGCCACGGCTAATTGAACATTCCATTAGGAGGCCCAAGCTGCGGGGCTAGGAAGGGGGGCTGGTGCAGGCACACTCCTCCACGTGGGCCTGAAGCCACCAGCACCAGCATCGTCGGGGAACTGGCTAGAATGCAGACTCCTGGGCCAGCCCCCAGAGTTTGCACTGGGGCACACTGAGGTTGGAGAAGTGCTGTTAAATGAGATGGAGTTCTGCACTTGAACTCAGCAAGACCAGCTCCACCCATGACTTCTTGTGTGACCTTGGCAAGGTGGAGGCGGGGGGGGGGGGTTGTGGTTGGTGGAGGTGGTGGTGGACGACGACCAGGTCAGCTCTGGCCTTTTGTGACTGTGATTAAGGCCAGGGGAACTCCTTCACCTTCCCTGCGGAGCAGCATGTCAAGCCATGTCTCTTCCCAAAGAGCCTAGGGGAGGGCCGGGGGCAGGCCCCAAGCAGCACCCCCACTGCCCTTTCTGTGCCTAACCCCAGGCCACAGCCAGCTTGCCCATCTTATGAGGCCTTTGGGTGGCAGACCTAGGACTCTGGGGCCTGGGGAAGGAGTCTCTCTGCCTGGCTGGTGGGAAGGGAAGGCTTCTAGTCCTTTCTAGACTGTGGTCCTTCTTTGTCCCTGGGGCTAGCCTTAGCCTCAGCCATGTGGGCAGGAGCTGAGTAGCATTTTGGGGGTCCTGTTCAGAGGCCCTCCCCTGACTCCTGGTCTCCCTAACAGTATCACTGTCCCTCAAGTCCTTCTAGAAATTGTTCTCTTTAAATACTGACCCTGCCTTCCCTCTCCTACAGCCAACAAGCAGGGGCACATCCTAGTCCAGGGCGCCAAGGACCCAGGGGCCAGCCTGGGACTGAGATGGCAGGCCTTTTGCTTGCAGGCTTTGCTTTAGCCTGGTAAAGTCCTGCTCCCCTTCACCCAAGTCAGTCACCTGGCCAGTCCCACTTCTGTGAGGACTGGATTGGTGCCCCTCACCTGGCTTTTAGGCCAGGGACAGAGGGCTTATGCTAGCTGGCCCAAGCCAGGCCCGGTGGAGAGGGGCCCAGGGTGGGGCTGCTCCCCTCCAGTGGGCCCAGTCCCCCACCCTCTTGGAAATTCCCCTGGGAGGGGCGAGGGGGCAGCCTGTCTGATTCCTCTCGGCTCCCCCCTCAGAACCAGCTGGGAGCAGGGCCAGCATGGGGAGGCAAGAGGAGAATTGGCGGGGAAGGCCGGCCAGCTTTGTTTCCAGAGTTGGCTTCCCCGGGCCGGCGCTGGGGAACATACTGTCCCAATTAGGAGCCCTGTGTTGTGTTGTGTATGTGTTCATGGTTTTTTGGAGGGAGGAGTGGGGAGGGGAGGTTCCTGTCAGTCCTGCAGCAGGTCGGGCTAAATCAAGGGCCACCCATCTCTGGTCCTGCCCCGCATCAGGGCTCCACAGCCCAACTCTCTCTCTGGCAGGGAGCAGGGTGACCAATGAGATTGGGGTTTCCATGTGGGGGGTGTGTGTGTGGAGGGCCATAGGGGAGAATTGAGGCCCTGCCTTCAGCACCAGGAAGAGCCCAGGGTGGGTCTCCCGAGGCTAGGCCCTTGGGGATCAGAGTCCCTTGGCCAGGACCTTGATGATCAGAGTCCTGGTGGGAAGGTGGGAGTGGGTCCCAGATTAATGGGAGAGAAGATGGGGCAATTCAGGTGGCCTTGATCCCAGATACCGGGAGGGTATGAGTGGTTTCAGGAGGGTATGGGTTTGCCTGATGGGTGGGTGTGCCAGTCAGTGTGGAGTTTGTGCCAAGTGTGGGGGAGAAGCAGGTGTGGGCAAGGAGTGGGCAGGTAGGTGAGGAGCCATTAGCCTCCTTTCCCAGTCTCCTACCTGTCACTCAGACCTGTCCAGCTGCTCTGGCTGTGCCTGCCCAGAAAGAGGTCACCAAGTGTCCCTGCCTCCTTCCTCCCTCCAGAACTATGCTGCCATGAAGCTGGTGAAGCCCTTCAGCTGAGGACCCTCCTGTTCTGGAGAAGGGGGCGCGGGCTGCCCTCCCAGCCAGGGCTGGCCTGCCTCCTCGGCCCAGCTCAGCCAAGCTCCTCCAGACCTCCGCAGCCTGACCCTCCTGCCAGGTCGGGCGGACAGCACCTGCTGCAAGAGTGACTGATGAACGTGGAGCCCTGGGATCACCCACTTCCATCATCTCTTTCTCCCCCCAACCTGATCCCCTTTTGGATCAGCTCATATAATTTCAGTATAAAACAGACTGAACCACAGAGTGCATTGACTGTGTACTTGAGCAGGGAGGGGAGTGGGGATGGCTGGGCAGGGGAGGGGTGGCTGGGCAGGGGAGGGTGTGTCTGGGTGGACCAGGTGTGCACGGGGTGCCACCATTGCTGGTATGGCCTTTCAGAGGGAGAAGCAGGTGGGCGGAGCCCCCAGAGCTGCTTTTACAAGGCTGCCTGGGGGTAGGGGGCTTGGAGGCTCGGTGTCTGGCTGGCCTCACCACCAGCATTCTGGGCCTCCTTTCCTCTCACCCCCTCCCCTCTCCTCACTCAAGTACCCTCCTTCCTTTCCAAGTCTGCCCTTTGCTCCGGTGGGCAGTCACCTGAACCGTCTGGTTTCCTTGGTCATGCTGAGGAAGAGGTTCCACTTTACAAAAAAGGAGAGTCAGGCTGGGCGCTCCAGGCTGAGAGGGCAGCAGGAGCTCTGGCTCAAGCCAGCCTTGTCCCTGACACTCTTGGGAACCCCTCCCTCTGCTTCCTCCTTCTGCTTTAAAGGTCTGAGCTGGAGAAAGACAGCTTTTCCTTGCAGTCTGACGCCTGGCTTTACCCACTGGTCTGACCTTTCCTCGGGAAACCGGGCTCACTCGGAAGGAGCAGCAGGAACATGCTGGAAAACACAGAGCTGGGGGACGTGGCTTTTAAATGTGGCCTCCGCCGCTCACCCCAGGACTGGAAAACCAGCCTCCTCTCCGGTCCCGCCCAGGCCCCAAGGTCCCCAAGGGAACCTTCCAGCCCCACTTGGTTCTCCCCTGCACTCGGGGACCCAAGATCAGGCCCCTCTGGATTGGGAGGTTGGACGGTGGCTGAGAGAGGGATGATGTCCAGAAATTACCTTGGGGAGGGAGCTGTACCTTCTGAACAGAGTGATTCTACTTTAGGGGAGATTCAGGTGGGAGGTGGCCGTGAGCCCCAAGAACCGCGTGGCCAGTGCTGAAACACTGTCACCTGAACCCTGGAGCCAGGAGCCACAACTCACACAGAACACGCAGCAGGGAGCCGGGTCCAGAGCGCTCCTGGAAGGCTGAGAAGGTGGTGAGCTCTTACTGGGCCTGCGCAGTGTGGCCCATGTGCGGCAGGAGGGGAGGCCGCCTCCAGAGCAGGCTGCAGGAGAGTGGGCAAGAGGGGGGCTGCAGCTCCAGGAGGGGCCAAGGGAGCTTTGCAGGGTGGAGAGGACTGAGAACATCTGAAGGTAGAGAGAAGGAAGCCCCTGAATCAGGAAAGATGGAAGAGAGGAGAGGGTATGGGTTTGCCTGATGGGTGGGTGTTTTTAAAGGAATATTTAAAGGAATCAGTTTCTGGAAAAGATAAGGAAGGTGTTAGCTCTGGAAAGAAGATCCGGCTTTTTCTTCCAGGCCCAGAAGGCAAGCGCAAATAAAAGCATACCATGCAACTATCAGCTGGCTTAAAAGGGTTTTGAGGGTCATTGTCCCATTTGTTCCATTGACTCAGATGTTTTTTCCTTGCTACTCTGGGTTGCAGGTATTAGAAAAGCCCACTGAACCTAGTAAAGGGAACTTAAGGGCTTTATGGAAATGAAACATCAAGGGTCGGCTTCAGGCAAGGGTTCATCCAACTTCTCAACTAGATCACTAAGAGTTTGTGTTTTCTCTCTGCTTTGCCCTCCTCAAGGTTGGCTTTAGCTACAGCTGGCTCCATTCCTAGAACTGGGCTTGAAACTGTTTCCTGGGATCACATGGGCCAATAAGAAAAACTCAGGGAGGTCTGGGGGATGGATGCTAAGGGGACACTTGCCCAGCAAACATGTTCAGTGTTGAGGTGCTTCATGTGGTAGGCCCAGAGCAGATTCTGAGGATCAGCGGTGAGTTACCTGTGACTCCTGTCCTCCCAGGGATCCCAGCAAGGATGGAAAACTGTCTCCTGATAGGAGGAGTGTTTGAGAAGGGGTGTGTCCTGCCTTGGGGAGGAGAGGCACAGGAGACCCTCTCTAGAAGGGACATTATTTGAGCAGAGGATTGAACTGGCCCAGAGGCTAAGAGAAGGGGGGTTCCAGTGACGGAGGTGGAGGCTGAGTTGCCAGCTGGAGCCATCAGAGAGCTCTGCTGTCCAGGGTGTGGTCACAGCAGGGACGCGGCTAAGGAGATGAGCTGGTAGGGCAGGGCCAGGTGTGCAGGGCCTGGGCGTGCACACCTACCTCATTCTGGAGGCAATGCAGAAGCACAGGAGGACTCAACACTCCACTGACGGATCAGCAGTCTGTTTTTTTTTTTTATGATCCCTCCAGCTTACTTCTTGTCTTGGGAGACAGGAGTCCCCAGGGGACTCAGAATGGGCTTCAGACAAGTCAAGCTATGGCCAACTGCCTCTGGCAGGGAACGTGGGGATCCCACCTTACTCTCAAAGTGGTCTCTGGTCACAAATACTGAAGAGCAATTGCTCAGGGTGCTGCGTGGCCGGTTGCAGAGGGCCATTCTAGAAGGCTGGTTCATGAATCCAGAAACCGACTGGGGACTATCTGACAGGTGAGGTTAGAGTGAATCGTTCATTCCTATCTTTCATTCATTCATTAAAGAAATATGCATGCATATATATTTGCCTATGCATGTAGACGTACATGGGGACAGAGATGGAGAGGGCTGTCGGCAGACCAGGCACGGTGCTAGATTTTGAAGAAGAATGTTGAGAAAGACACACGTGGGTGCTGCCTTCCCCGAGCTCCCAGTTGAGTAGGAGAAGCAGGAAGTAGGACAGGAACAGACACTGTTGGAAGGTCAGGAGGTACAGGGTCAAGAGCAGGGGAGGGAAAGCGTGAAGAGGGAAGAGAGTGCAGCCAGGCAGGATGGCACACGTCTGTAATCCCAGTGGCTTGGGAGGCTGGGGCAGGAGGATCGAGAGTTTAAAGCCAGCCTCAGCAAAGGTGAGGCACTAAGCAACTCAGTGAGACCCTGTCTCTAAATTAAATGCAAAATAGGACTCAGGATATGGCTCACTGTTGAGTGCCCTGAGTTCAATCCCCAGTACCCCTTCCCACATACAAAAAAAGGAGGGAAAAAATTGCCCAAAGACAGGCCATAACCAGAAACAGGCTCTAAGATCCATAGGAACTTCCACATGGATACCGAACAGTGGTTCTCAACCAGGGGTAGTTTTGTCCTCCAGGGCGTTTTTGGCAATACCTGGAGATTTTGGGGGGGATGGGTGTACTGGGGATTGTATTCAGGGGCACTCAACCACTGAATCACTTCTCCAGCCCTATTTTATTTAGAGACGGATAAATATTTTATTTAGTTGCTTAGCGCCTCACTTTTGCTGAGGCTGGCTTTGAACGTGATCCTCCTGCTTCAGCCTTCAGAGCCTCTAGGATTACAGGTGTGTGCCCACGTGCCTGGCTGGAGATGTTTTTGATTGTGATAACTGACAGGGGAGAGGTGGAGGTTGCTTCTAGCCTTCAATAGCTGCTAAACATCCTATAAAGCCCAGGGCAGTTCCTTTATCCCTGCCCCACTGCCCACAACAAAGGATTATCGAGTCTAAAATGTCAAGAGTACTGCTGTTGAGATATCCTGGCATAGTGGGGTCCAAAAATGATGGACAGATAATTTGCTAGGATTTGAGGACAGACTCGTCAGGGCTAGGGGAGTGGTGGGATGGGAGAGAAATTCCAAGTGCTTCCCAACTGTCTGGCTTTATGAGGGGTCAGCTGTGTTCCCATTCATCAAGTCCGTTCTGGATAAGGATGTTCAATCGTGTTTACAGCACGAACAAAATGCCCTTCCTGCCCTCCATGTCTCCCTGCTAACTGCAGGGAGGTCTCTCTCCTCCTTTTGCAAAGTTCTGGAAAGCACTGTCCATGCTGGTTGTATCCACATCCTCACCTCGCCCTTCCACCCATTGTGAAGGTTAAGCCATTGACCTTGACAGCCACTGTCTCAGGAAGAGGCATGTCACTCATTTATGGTCAATGAGATATGAGGGGAAGGTGGTGGAGTTAGGAGGGGGACTGGGGCACTGTTAGAAAGGGTTGCTCCTTAATACAAAAGGATATAAAAGGAGACACATCCTCATCTTTTGTCTCTTAATCTTGTGGGGAAAAAAATGTAATGACAGGAGCTGTAGTTGCCATCTTGGTGTCTTCAGACAAATTTGGGGAAAGGAAGATGGGAAGGACCTGGTTCTTGATGAAGCTCTGGAGAAAGAACCAAGCCTGGAACTGCCCCACCTCCAGACCAGATGTCTTGTGATGCAGGATCATAAATTCCTGATTGTGCAAGGCCCTTTTGTCTGGGTGGTATGGTACCCACAGTATCCTTTCAGAGGAGTTTCATTCTGTTCCCTAAAATCCAGTTTTACTACAGTCACTATGAAACAGGGCTGCTGTATACAGGCCCCACATCTAAGACATCATATGCTTATTATTTATTATAATAATGTCCCCACAGATGGCAGTAAAGTGTTTTGTTCTAATAAAACCAGTGTGTTACAGTAGTTTTCTGATAGAAGTAAATTACTTGAGGACAGGGCACCTTTTTCTAATTCACCCAAGGGCACCATCCAGCCCTAGTTGTTAAATCTGCAGACGCTTGTCCTTTAGGACCCTTAACAGCGACTGGAACAGGGATGTGCTCCGCTTCTTGGTAAACTTGGCCTGTCCTTGGCTCCCGTGGTCCCCTGGTCACCGGGGTCTCTTCCCCCTCTGTGACCGGGCCTTCTCAGTATCCTTCTTTGTGGGTCTAGAATGTTCCTTGGGGCTGTTTTCCTGGCCCTTATTTTCACACTGCAGACCTCCTAGGTCACCTCACCTCCTCATCGGACTTTATTTGTCCTCAGAGGTGAATCCCCTTTTCACCCAGCTCTTCTCTTGAGCTGCAAGTACTTTGTTCAACTGCTTAGCCCTGGGCTCCCCCCCACCCCACCCCCCACCCCCAGGGTGACTCAAGCCCACAGCTCAGAGGCTGTTACTCATTCAAAATCTCCATCCTCCACCAGCAAGAGAAGCTCCTACTTCATTCTTCCCTCCATCTCCCCAGTCACTG